ATTTTTCCAAAAATTCAAATTTTCTGGGGGGCTAAGCCCCCCCACTTTTACTTCTGGGGGGCTTTAGCCCCCCTAGCCCCCCCCCTGTTCCGCCGCCCCTGGGCCTTCAAGCACGACTATACAATAGATGCCTTCTCATTAGTATTCTTTATATAAAGAATACTAATTAGGATGGACTTTTATATAAAGAATACTAATGAAGATGCATTTTATCATGATAAAGCCTCTTCACTAAAAAAACCACCTCAAAATTAGTAAGTATACAAAGTTTGAAGACGTTTACATGAATATCCTTCGAATAATAAGCTTTCGAAAATCGCGATATTTTCTATGAAATGTATTGTAATTTTTGTTTTTGGGACGCGCGTCCCAAAAATATTCTTTTAAAGACCGTGTAAAGTCCGTTCTGCGCATACGTTCTGCGCAGGCTTGCATTCCAATTGTCGGGACCCGACCGTTGGAATGTTATTAATATTTCGTTTGAATTTTCTTGAATTGAATCTCTAGTCTGTATTCATTTACAAGCATAGCGAACCAGAAGAGTATTATATGTATCTAATCATATTTTACAACAGTAGCACTGAGTTCAAAATGTAAACAAAGCGTTTGTTTACATTACGGACTTAACATGGTCTTTAATCAGTAATTTCACAATTTTCGAAAGCTTATTATTCGAAGGATATTCATGTAAACGTCTTCAAATTTTGTATACTTACTAATTAAGAGGTGGTCTTTTTAGTGATTTGGTTCATTTCTTAATTTGGGCGGGTGCACGACGCAGCAAATCAAAGCGCCTGGGGACGAGGCTGTTCATACGTATAAAAAACGCGTTACTGGAGAACAGCCTTTATTGAGCAAGCGACCTTCACGTTTTCGCTTCGCTTCTGGAGTATTATTATATTTTGATATTTGTGTGTGTGTGTGCTTTAATACCGGGCAAGCTGTAAAGTCAGCCTGACCACGGTGGGAGTCGAACCCGCGACCTTTGTGATACTAGTCCAATGCTCTGCCAACTGAGCTACGAGGCCAAGTGGGTTCGAGTGTGTGGTATTTCGGAACTAAGTCTAGTACCTTCGATACCAATGTATTCTATGATATGATATTTTTGTGTGTGTGTGCTTTGATTTTATGTACTCAGATGAATATAATGTTTTTGATGTTACTGTGAATGTATATCAGTTAATCCACACCGGGCAGGCTGAAAAGTTAGCCTCACCACGGTCAGAATCGAAGCCGCGACCCTTGGGATACTAGTACATAACAATATCAAAGCACTAAGGCCCGGTCACACTACACAACGATAACGATACGATAAGTTGTAAACACGCAATAATTGGCAAAAAAATTGTGTTAGTGTCCACACAACAACGAAAATGATAAAATTATCGTTAGACGATAACGATAACGATTTTAAAATCGCTCACCTGAGCGATTTTTTTTTCAGTCGGACGATAACGATAAATTTTTGACCAATCAGCGCGCGTATACAAGTTATCGTATCGTTATCGTTGTGTAGTGTGACCTGGGCTCTACACACAAAAAAATATGATCATAGAACACATTGGTGTCGAAGGTACTAAACTTAGTTTCGAAATACCACACACTCGAACAGACTTGGCCTAGTAGCTCAGTTGGCAGAGCATTGGACTAGTATCCCAAAGGGTTCGATTCCCACCGTGGTCAGGCTAACTTTTCAACCTGCCCGGTGTGGATATACACTCAGAGTAACATAAGAAAACATTACAGTCGAACCCCTATAAGCGGACACCTCTCTTAAGCGGACACATATCTCAGGTCCCATTTGGTTTCTTTAATAAAAAAAACTATTATCATAACCCCTATTAAGTGGACACCCCTCTTTAACGGACGCGGACACCTTTCTGGAGGTCCCAATGGGCAAATCAACCTCTCTTAAGCGGACAGATGACAGATTGTCTGATAAAATGTATTCAATATTCGACAGTAAATAACAATTGAGATCAATTTACATGGCACATTGACAGTGACACACCAACTTGGCGCGAAGACATCAGAGCCAAGATTATTGAGGAAGTGACGAATGAGGACGGAGGACTGTGAGCCGCCAGCCATGATGATACTCAAATTACACACCTAATTACACACCTTTGCCTCCTGCTGTGTTTTTCTACATACCCCTTTTAAGCGGACACCCCTTTTAGGCGGACACTTAGGCGAGGTCCCGAAGGTGTCCGCTTAATAGGGGTTCGACTGTATTATATTTGTTAAATGAGTTTCTTCTTTGTTGCTCCAGGCAAGCCAGTGGGTGATACGCTGTTGTTCTTTGGCTGTCGACATAAAGCCGAAGATTATATATATCAAGAAGAAATTGAACAGTATCATAATGAAGGGACCATCTCACATCTTTTTGTCGCTTTCTCAAGAGATCAGGTTTAATGCACTTGCATCTTATTGAAGTTTGATTTTACATTCAGATTAAATTGGATTAGATTTGAATCGCAACACATGTTTACGCTGTTGCGATGAAATGCACATTTTCAAATAACTCACATGCCTAGTTACCACTGTTCTCATGATGTAAGCATAGAATGGAACAAAGGTAACCAAGCATTTAAATTATACGGGGTGTATAAAAAAAAACGCAACCTCGGAATTTCCTAAGAAATCACTTTGCAATTCTTAAGCATAAAAGATTTTAAGCCCCTGGGAATTGAAATCGAATTGCTAATAGATCTTATTACTGTTGTTGTGCATTAAACAAATGCATAAATTTTGCTTTATGCACTCGATTGTGCAATAATTTTGACATTTTAAATTCCCAGGCACCTAAAATCTTTTGTCTTTAAAACCATGTCGATTTCTTGGGAAATTCCGAGGTTGCGTTTTTTTTATACACCCTGTATATGTGAGTGAATTGGGTGGGATAACTCGCATGCCTAGTTACCACTGTTCTGATAATGTAAGCATAGAATGGAACAGAACTTAACAAACTAAGCATTTAATCCTTTCATTTTGTCTAGCCTGAGAAACGTTATGTTCAGCATTTAATATTAGAAAACGGAGAGGTTGTCTGGAACGCTTTAAATAATCAGGGTCATGTTTATGTTTGCGGGTAAGTAAACTTATCTGGATAGCACAATCAGTTCTAAACTGTTCTTCCTAGAGGTCCAGTAAGGATCATCTCTTACTGATCTAGTGTTACTACAGGAAGAAACCTAAATTAAACTAACTTTATTTATACTGGTTAGCTCTATCAGTTCTAAACTGTTCTTCCTAGAGGTCCAGTAAGGATCATCTCTTACTGATCTAGTGTTACTACAGGAAGAAACCTAAATTAAATTAACTTTATTTATACTGGATTGCTCTATCAGTTCTAAACTGTTCTTCCTAGAGGTCCAGTAAGGATCATCTCTTGCTGATCTAGTGTTACTACAGGAGGAAACCTAAATTAAATTAACTTTATTTATACTGGATAGCTCTATCAGTTCTAAACTGTTCTTCCTATAGAGGTCCAGTAAGGATCATCTCTTGCTGATCTAGTGTTACTACAGGAGGAAACCTAAATTAAATTAACTTTATTTATACTGGATTGCTCTATCAGTTCTAAACTGTTCTTCCTAGAGGTCCAGTAAGGATCATCTCTTATTTATCCAGTGTTACTACAGGAGGAAACCTAAACTAAACTAACTTTATTTATACTGGTTAGCTCTATCAGTTCTGAACTGTTCTCTCTAGAGGTCCAGTAAGGATCATCTCTTATTTATCCAGTGTTACTACAGAAGGAAACCTAAATTAAACTAACTTTATTTATACTGGATAGCTCTATCAGTTCTAAACTGTTCTCTCTAGAGGTCCAGTAAGGATCATCTCTTATTTATCCAGTGTTACTACAGGAGGAAACCTAAAACTAACTTTATTTATACTGGATAGCTATATCAGTTCTAAACTGTTCTCTCTAGAGGTCCAGTAAGGATCATCTCTTATTTATCCAGTGCTACTACAGGAGGAAACCTAAAATAAACTAACTTTATTTATACTGGATAGCTCTATCAGTTCTAAACTGTTCTACCTAGAGGTCCAGTAAGAGTAATCTCTTATTGATCCAGTGTTACAACAGGAGGAAACCTAAACTAAACTAACTTCATTTATACTGGATAGCTCCATCAGGTCTAAACTGTTCTCCCTAGAAGTCCAGTAAAGATTATCTCTTATTAATCCAGTATAAGAGGAAACTTAAACTAAACTAACTTTATTTATAATGGGCAGTTCTATCAAGTTTTGGACTATTTCTAGTAGTCGTCCGTTATTGCTTTAGTGTTAGTACAGTCACTTAGGCCCGTTAATTACTAACCTGAAGTTCAGGCCCTAATCACAGAATAGGGCCTGACACAAAACCTATCTAAAGCCTGCAGCACACGAGAGCTATCTGCTGAGCCAAAAGTTACTCGTGCCTGTTAGCTCAGCCGATAGCTCACCGATAAAACATGTTTGATACGTGATAAAAGGTTGCATGAGGCAAAAAACTCAGTAAAATGTACCCGCACACGGTGAGCTATCGGGTGAGCTATCGGGTGAGCTAACAGGCACGAGTAACTTTTTGCTCAGCAGATAGCTCTCGTGTGCGGCAGGCTTAAAGTGTGAGATTCCCGTCCACCTGGTGGACGGGAAATCTGATTGGTTGATCAGCATCATGAAGGATTTTGATTGGTTGCAAGTTTACATAAACAACAGTTTTAAAAATAGCTCGGTCAAGGCGACAATTAATATAAAGGTCAAACGCACGTACAAATTCCATTATCGATTTCTTCGAATTTCTTTTTCTTTTATGATTTATGGCAGAATAAATCAAACAAACAATATTTTGAAAGGGCTTTATCAAAATCTTGGACGAATTTTGGACACACGACGCCGAAAGAACAGCCAAACTAAGTCATGTATTCGAAAGCTTGTTGTTGACAGCCAAGATGTTATGCCAACTGGCTTCGCCGGCAAAAGTCTTATTTTTAATATCAGGTCCTACCGGCGTTGTTTTCTGAGCTACATCGCCTTCTTCGTGGTACGATTGAGAATTTCATTGTTGCTGTTGTTAGCCCGTTTTAATAAAGTATATCCCTAATATCCGCGTCCAGCAAGTTGAGACCTTGAGAAAGCTTGGCAGTCTAGCCGTCTGAATCTTATTTATATAAAAGTACCTTGAATTTTTAAGTTTAATTATAAAGCAAAATGCACACTCTGCGGACATGTTCATGAGAATATAATTTTTTTGTGTAACGAATATAATTTTTTTGTATAACACTTGTCAATCATATTGCATGTTGTGTCTAAAAATAACATGTGGGCGTCCCACGGTCTAGACAGGTTTTGTGTCAGGCCCTATTTCAAATTAGGGCCTGAACATCAGGTTAGTTAATTACTTGACATTATTCCCGAGTAAAAGGGAAATATATTTTACTGGTATGCACTAAGCAAAGTTGTTTTCTAGGGACGCTCGACACATGGCGAAAGACGTTCACGATGCCTTGGTTCATGTCGTCCACAAACACGGAGAGAAGAGCGAGAATGATGCCGAAGAATTTATTAAGAACC